TTTCATATGTTGGTTTTTTTTTTTTTTTGTCAAAAAAAAAAAAAAAAAAAATCTATCTTATAGTCTTTAGTGTCTTAATTAAAAAAAAAAGAAAAATAATCAGTTTAAAATCGAAAATCGAATTTTGTCTCAAAAAATCGACAATTCAATTTTTAGGTCATATCGCCCAGCTCTACCTGTTTGTTCTGACTGCATAACCTCTAGAGTCCCTGCGTCCTCATATGAGGACCGCACAGCTTGGGTTTCCAAAGCTCAGGACTCTAGAGGTTAAGGCAAGTGTGTTTTCCGCATGTGATGTGATGTGATGTGTTGCTGGTTAAAGAGCGGATTAACAACCCATGATGTTATTGTCTGTGCTACACTAAAAAAAACACACGTTGCATGCCTGTTGCTTTCTTGTTTTTGTAACATTAGAGAGAATTGTTATAAGGCTGGATAAGTTACTGTATCTGCATTATACCAGTTAAAATATGGGGTTTCTCAATTACCCGCTTTGTTTAGAGTGTTACAGATCTCTTTTCATCAGTACATATACTATTGTTTACCTATCTATGGAGGAGAAATTCAGATCAGTTAATGCCGTAAATATTAAATGGCTGGAAATGACACGCAACGTGCGTGTTTTTTTACACTCACCATTAAATCCCACTGAGTAGTGGGAACATCACTCCCTTTCAGGTAGCTCCAAGGTTGGTAAAACCAACCAGTGATTACTGCTTCTTCCCCCACAGGACCACATACAGTCCCACAGTAGTGAAATTAATTCCAACGGGTAGCATAGCACCGACAATGATATCAAGGGTAGTTAATCCGCTCACTAACCAGCAACACATCACATGTGGAAAACAAACTGGCCTCAAGCAGTCAAAACAAACAGGTACTGTGCTCCGGGGGAATCCAGTGCTGATGAGCTGATCATTCACTGCAGCAGAGGCTTCAATGGTCAGGTTAAACAACCAGTCCCTGTACATGAACATTCCTGGACATGCAGTGACCTCAGGCCCTGTATTTTCTCCACATCCTCTGGTCATAATGCAGGCAGCAAAAAAAATCTGCTTTTAAAATGGCACTGTTGAATGTCAGGCAAACTTGCATGAACTTGCTACTGCCTGGAGATTATGACCAGTCAAGGAAATCCTTAAATTTTCACGCATGTTAGATTTTACCCAAATTCTTTTATTGAAAGCGCGAGAAGTGAAGACAGGAGAGGACTGTTTAAAATCAACAGGAAGTTTACTCAAAGTCTGGGCACATGAACAGGTCAACCCCTGCCTGTGTCTGCTTGCTGAAATGTGATCTAAACTAGGTATGTGTGTGTGTTTTGATCAATGGACACTGAACAATGGGTGGTCTGGGCTGCAGGCCCCTGTGTGTGATGCTAATAAGTATGCTAAACAGGCCAGGTGGTCATCTCGGGTTGTAACCCCCCTGTCTCTGCAGGACACCCCATGACAAAGCAGAACTTGGAATATGCTAAGCGGGTCTAGGTGAAGGTGCAAAACAGGTCTGTGTTAAAATGTAAAATAGGCTGTCTGGTTACTTGGAGATTCCAAAGTTCCAAAGTTTCACTCAGCACAATACAGCAGTCATCAATACAGTTTTAATATGTATAAGCAAGGAAAATAAAGTTATGAAGGGTAACTAAAAGGAACTAAAGTTATGAAAAGTAACTAAAGCTTATAAAGTAACTAGAGCCTATAAGAATCAAATCTTACACGTAAGACTACATTGTTGGAAAAAAAATGTCTCGTGAACAAGAGTTTGACTTGTATACACCAAGTTGCTTCTGCATAGAAGTACTAGACCATATGTACACCTCATTTTTTGAGCGCTAGGTGATGTTTAACATGATAATTCACCGTTGTAACGTTGTAGATAAATCAGAGAACAAGGAAAAGCATGCTATGGGCTTTTTAAGAATGGTTGGTGAATGAGGCCCATTGTCCTGTAGATCTGTAGCACAGGGTAGCCTTTTTTTTTAGTGCAACAGGGTGGCTTACTGGGTCTGTGGGTTTGTCACTATGAGCAGTCTTTTTCACATTACACACAGTTATTTGACCCATGTTTACGCCTTTATGCCTGAGATTGTTGTAGAATTACAGTATGTTTTGGGGTTTTCTGTCTGTCTCATTCCTGTGAATGTGATATTCAAGATTCAAGATTTTTATTTACCATTTATGCATAAACAGACAGTCAAGGCCAGGGGTGTCAAACTCAATCGCACAGGGGGCCGAAACTCAAAGCACACTTTAGGTTGCGGGCCGAACAGGATAAAAATTTATTGAACAGACTAAAACTAAATGTTTTTTGACCATAAATATGAATCCAAATAGACAGGATACAATATTATTTCAAAATAAATAAACGTAAACTTAAAATCAGCAGCCATATTTCTGCTAAGGCTTACATTTACAAACACCTGCTTTTTGTCTGGACACAAGACGTCGCACACTTTCATCATGCAGCTCTTCAGAAACTCTCCCTCGGTAAATGACCGGGCTGATTTTCTCCTCTGTCCCAATAAAACTTGCTTTCACAGCAGCTTCACTGTGTGATTTCGCTTTGGTGAAAACATCTGCTGTGATGTCAGATTCCTCTTCAACTCCTCTACCTTCTGTAGCTTCTGCTCTTCATTCACGTTTTTCAGCTTGTCCTGATGTTTTGTCTCGGGGTTGTATACATCAACAGACGCTTGATTGATCTGACATAATTGATGCGGGAATGATCACAGGTAACCTATCGTTCGGTAAGGCAACTGTTGCGCTGCATTATGGGATTTGTAGTTTGTGTGTTATCAGTGCTTCATATCGCCAGGCCATTAAAAAAGGATGTATAAAATGATCTCGCAGGCCGGATGTAATTGTACGCCGGGCTGGATGTGGCCCGCAGGCCTTGAGTTTGACACATGTGGTCTAGGCATATAGGAATTCTTGTGCAGGGCTCTCTTGGAATCAAGTAAAGAGTTAAAAGCCAAAAAAGAAGAACACCTAGTCTAAAAATAAAGTTACATAAGAATAAAACAGTAAATTGTGAATACAAAAATAAAATAAATAAAATGGCAAATTTCAAATATTGCACATAGTATTGCACATAGTGGTATTGTATATGGTATTGTGCTTAGTGAGGTAATGAGGGGTTATTGCACATGTTTTTCACATTTTGTATTTGCCATCAGTCTTACTGTGGCAGGGAAAAGGCTGTTTCAAAATCTTGTTCTGTGTGTGATGATACTGTCTGCTCTGCTGAGGTTGTAAGTGCAATTTTTGTGTCTGAGCAGAGTGTGAGCTGGGTGGAGTGAATCTATGATTATGTTCTCTGCTCTTTTACGACAGCACTGTGTTTATATTGTGTCCATAGCAGGAAGTTTGGTCCTAATTATCCTCTCTGCAGTCTTTATAACTTTTTGAAGAGCCTTCCTCTCTGCCTGTGTGGTGTTACCATACCAGACTGTGATGCCGTAAGTGCAATTTTTGTGTCTGAGCAGAGTGTGAGCTGGGTGGAGTGAATCTATGATTATGTTCTCTGCTCTTTTACGACAGCACTGTGTTTATATTGTGTCCATAGCAGGAAGTTTGGTCCTAATTATCCTCTCTGCAGTCTTTATAACTTTTTGAAGAGCCTTCCTCTCTGCCTGTGTGGTGTTACCATACCAGACTGTGATGCCAGTAGTGAGGATGCTCTCTACCAGTCCTCTATAAGCCCGGGGGAGTGGGCAACGGTTCAACCCAGCTTTTCTGAGCTGCCCGATGAAGTATAGCCACTGATGGGCTTTCTTCACTGTGGCAGCTGTGTTCAGTGAGGAGTGCCATGAGGAAATGGTTTTTCTTTTTAATTTGGCACAAATGTGAACTTGGACTCAAGGATGAACTGATTAGATTCTGGTGGTCAAGGTCACTGTGACCTCACGCCTGTCCCATTTCTGGGAATTGGATTGATTAGTGGAGGCATACTGTGATAATTATAGTTCATGTAGAATTTTGATTTGTGCAGTTTTGAAGAGTAGATGCATATAAATTTCCCAGCCAACCTGTGGTGACACCGTGCATTATTTACACCCTGTACAGCAGTGATGTACTGGGCATAGAGCTGTGTATCTTTCCTGTTGACACAATTAGATACTGCAGAATTTGTCATGATATGATACATAATGATTCAGAGTGATCTGAATTTGATTCAGCAAATAATCACTTTTAATTTAGCTTTTATTTGAAAAACTATACATTCAGCATGTTAAAGTATCTGTTTATAGTATAAAATTTTAAAAGTTAGTGTTTCCTCAAAGCAAAGTTATATATTTCAAGCAGTAAAAGTCAAATAGATTTAAAAAATTACTCTTTTTAACAATAGTAAACAGTGGGCACTGATGAACAATGAGCTGTTGTTTCACTTTATCATATAGAACTGCAATGCATTGTTCACTTAAATCCTGCTGACCTGCTGTTGTGTGCCTCAGCTTCAGAGTCACTATCATTTGTCCAAATCCCACATTTTCAACAACACAGGTCTGTGTCCTTGCAAATGAAATAGCTTATAGCTTCAGTTATTGGCTTCAACCCAACTGGGTGCAATTATCATTTGATGTACTCTGAGAGTAGCTGCTAACAATAGTGGTTGACCGATTAATTGGTCGGTCACTTTTCGGCATTTTTTTTAGCATTAGCCAACGGCACACTAATCAGCTGATGTGTCTGCGGACAAATAATGTGTGCAGTACAAGTATTTACCAATTTTTGCTGTCTCAGGAAAATGCTACTGTTAAGTACACTAAAATGTTTTATTTATCTTTTATTCATAAAGGTTAATATTTTTTACAGTTTAGTTTTTTTATTATTCATGAACATTTTTTACAGTTTAAAATAAGGTGAGTGCAGATTGTAGTAAATGAGAGGTGGTGCTCATTTTTTGTTTTTATTTTCATAAATCATTAAGGTTAAATAAATGTTCAATTTTTGGAAACATGTCTCATTTGTTATTAAATTGGTGTAGTTTATCTGATGCAAAAAGGGGAGAAAAACACAATATCAGCATTATATATTGGCCATTGGCCTCTCTGCTCTCTAAAACAAAACATCTTTGGAATCGGCCATTGAAGAACCCATATTGGTCGACCACCAGCTAACAACACTAGCACTGTTACATGCCTCAAGCTGACTGCCCTGACAGCAAACGGTACTGTTTCCATTGGTTAAACAATGTTTTGCTTTCATAACATTGCTATTAGCGAGGTCCATGTTACGTCTCCCAGTGTTCAAGATTAACAATTAGCCACTGTTAACTGGTGACTTTCAATGGAATGTGTCGGTGGATGCTCGTAGATACACCAGCTGTTGAAAACAGATTGAGATCAGGCAGAGCACCTGTAGCTGTCCTCGTGGATACCGTCATGAGATTGTAAAAATACAAATAGACTATTTGTCTTCTCATTTGTGTTGTTTGAGTAAATGTGCCACACACTAGACATATTTAGCTGCTAGTGAATGTCTCTTTAGCCCTGCGATGGATTGGCGACCTGTCCAGGGTGTACCCCGCCTTCGCCCGATTGCCGGCCGGGATTGGCTCCGGCCCCACCCGTGACCCCGTTCAGGGACTAAGCAGTAGAAAATGAAAGGTTTTTCCTTGTCTGATTTCAGGTCTGTATGTGGAACATATTGTAAGGTCCCCACACATCGCAGTCACAACGTCACAAGGCTACACTTGGTGGAAAATAGGAGTTTTATCTTCTAATCTACAGAAGCCAGTGCAGCTATATTTCTACTCTTTCCAAATTTAAAGTTACTGTTTAAGGTGGCTAAGATTCTAGATCATATGGACAGCAGTTGTAAACCTGTAAACATTGTTACTTATATAATTATTCATATTTTGATCTCAAGTGCTAACAGTTTTTCTTGCCTCCCAGGTATTAGATGCCATCCAGCCTGTGATGAACAAGGGGAGTGTCAGGGAGCAGACTGTTTACCGAGCCAAATTCAGCTCTATTACTGATGTGGACATCTGGAATGCCATGAACCACCTAGGAGAGCCCAACCGCAATGAAGCCTTATCTGTAGATGCACGTCAGGAGCTGGATCTGCGCATCGGCTGTGCCTTTACCCGGTATGCTGGCTCTGCCACATATAGCCACCTTGTGCTAGATTTCCTGCAGCAGTCTGGGCACCCAAGAAAGTTGTTGCATGACATTTATCAAGAATATAAAATATATGAGTAAATACTGTATATATCATTTTCATTTTGATAAATTATTTTCTTTGATGACTTTCCATCAAACTAGCTGGACATCCAGGACATTGTAATCCCATCAGTAACTACTTGGTCAACCCAGCACAAGTTAATTTCAGTGATTAGTTCTGTCTACATTTCAGGTGTAAAATAGGGAAACACTGAGCTTTTAACTAATGAAATAAGCTGGTGCTACATTGAATAACATGGTGCACAATGCCACAAACTTGTGTACAACTGAATGATATTTGAAACTTGATTTAGAAGTGTGTTTCTTCAATATCTGTGCAGACATGCATGCGATGTACAGTACAAGGTACAAAACAAGTAAAAAAAAAAAAAAGTCAAATAAGATCTAAAAATCCCCAGTTTTTTTTTTTTTTTTTTTTTTTTTTTTGGTGGCGAAATGCAGACATTGGGTTTGATATGTGATTGCACCCTCGTCTAAAGCTTTAGGTTTAGGTTGACATATGCATATTCAAAAATATAATAATAAAAATTTTTCCACATTCTTTCAGGGTAACATTTTATTTTCTGCATCATGAGTTTAATTATAACTGATCTAAGGTAATAATAAATGGAATCTAAGCTTGACTTTTGTGGGTCAAATATTTTTTAGGTTCCAGACTAAGTATTTCCAGGGTAAGTACGGGAATCTAGACTCCTCCTTGATCTCATTTGGACCATGTCAGACCCCCACACTAGGCTTTTGTGTGGAACGCCACGACAAGATCCAGTCCTTCAGACCTGAGACTTACTGGGTCCTCCAGGCAAAGGTAATCTCTGTTTCCACCTTCCCTGACATATTAGCAACGTCTTCCTTCTGTGCCATGTTGACAGACGTGTTGTGTTTTGGTCAGGTGTTCAAAGGAAAAGACAGCCCACTGACACTGGACTGGAATAGGGTGAGGGTCTTTGACAGGGAGGTGGGCCAGATGTTCCTTAACCTGGCCAAGGCATGCAGGGAGGCCAAGGTAGGAGCAAAAACTGAGCCATGAATAGTAGATTTGGCATTGACTGATCATTATTGTCACATTTATTAATATATTTATTAACATGTTTAGTGTGTAACCTGTATTACAGTTACATTTGTTCACTTTTTGAATGTAATGATTCTGAACATTTTTAACATAATATATCTGCAGTAGGTTTTTACTGTAGGTTAGGGCTGCTTGAATATGGCAAAAATCATTACAGGGCTCCAGATGGTGGCACCACCTCTGTTTTACAACATATTGTAAAAGAACC